TTTGAGAGTCTGGAAAGTTGTCTGTAAATTGTCTTGAGTGTCTGGAAAGTTGTCTGTAAATTGTCTTGAGAGTCTGGAAAGTTGTCTGTAAATTGTCTTGAGAGTCTGGAAAGTTATCTGGAAATTGTTTTGATAGTCTGGAAAGTTGTCTGTAAATTGTCTTGAGAGTCTGGAAAGTTGTCTGTAAATTGTCTTGATAGTCTGGAAAGTTGTCTGTAAATTGTCTTGATAGTCTGGAAAGTTGTCTGTAAATTGTTTTGGGAGTCTAGAAAGTTGTCTGTAAATTGTCTTGAGAATCAGGAAACGACAACCGCCCTCTAACATGAATACTCAAAGGTCAGTTGCCCTGCACTGTCACATTATGATATGTACTAGGAAGTAAATACTGAGGCAATTTTCTGGTGTATTCGATGGAAGGCCTACTGCCGTGATGTCATTCAAGTAATTCTGTTCTTGCTGAAGAAAATTGCAGTCACTGGAGTTAAATAAGGTTTAGGCGTAGGTGGAGGTCGATGGTTCTTCGTGCGTCAGTCTTACGCCTTTGTGATGGTATTTTAATCATTTCTGGCACATTTGGTGTCCTTAGATTTTTTTTTATATATTAGGATTTGATGTTGTTTGATGTTCTTTTTCCTTAGTCTTCCTCAGGGTGTGGGCAGATGATCGGTGGAAGGAGGCTAACCTACAAAACTGAACTTAGAGCTAGCTCACCCGCTCATTGTCAAGTGAGAATATCGAACCCTCTTCATTTTTGAAAGATGACTTTTCTAAGACCCGGTTAGTGGAATTCAGATTGGCCACTCTACTGACTAAGCCCAGCAGGGAATAGGTGAAATCAGAGGTACATTACTTGGGGTTTGCAACTACGGTGACATGATACCAAGATCCTGTTACAATCTCGCTCTCGCATAAACGTTTCAACTCAGAAAAATGCGAATGCGCATGCCCGAGGTAACTAGGATACTGGGATGTCCAGGTGGATCAAAATAGCTGCCCACGATATGACGGATTACGAGAACTATATTTTCTGTACATTTTCGATGTATTACATTTTTCACTAGTGGCAAGAAAAGTTTTATTTTTTCATTACAAACCTTGAACATTGATATATATCATGTCAGAATGTCGTAGCCTCAGTCTCGCTATCTACGAGATGAGACTTCAATGGGATCTTGACATGATGTCACCATACAGTACTATGCGAAAAAGATTGGCCCGTCATACCATATGCAGGCGTACCAAGTGAGCCATGTACACCCACCTTACCAGATTATCGGACCACTATTTATTTGGAAAGTGTGTTATATAACATACACATGGAGAATCCATGAATAAAAAACCTCAAAATTAGCGGTATAACACACTCGACCAAAATACAACATGTACAGTTTCTTTGGTAAACCTCCTCACAGCTGTGAGCATCATAGTTTTACCAAAAAAATCTACAGCCTATATCCGTAAACTTGCTCACTCCCTGTTGCTTAATGTTTAGTACCTGTCGTGATCATCTTTTTCACTGCATTGTGGGTAATGAGTACATCAATCTGTCAAACTTTCGGCTGTACCATGGAAACATCTTTGTGTGATCAAAAAATATTGTCGCCAACTCTGATGTTCACAATGATGCACAAACTCAATGTTGTGTGGTTACGTATACATATATATTTACTCATTTATTAATGTATTAGCTCGGGTAACTTCAATACCCATCATTAAAGAATTTGGATTTAGAAATAATGTCATCAAATTACGTCAAGTTCGTTGCCCTCTACAATCACCATTCTACAGTTCTAAGCGACAGATAAAAAGCGCCCTCTGGGGTCACTCAATCTCAAATCTTATTTGCAGTCACCCAACCACTAATAACGCGGTATCTATAATTTTGCAGTGTGGGTCATCCAAATGTCAGAGCTGCAGTCTCCACCTGGGTAACGGATTTCGTGAGCCAAGACTGGTCCCTCGGGTTCGTTGCCAAAGTCCACCAGGAAGTCCTTGTTAAGAGTGAGTCCCCCAGTCGCTGTATTGACATCGATTTGCAGCATCACACTGCCTTGTCTGAAATAAAGTAATAAATTTATTGACTACAGACAAGTTGTATTGAAGATTTGTGCAATGCACTACAACTACCTTGATGTGATGTAATAGAGTACGATATCCCTAATGCAATGTACACATGTACTGATAGGATATTATGTAATAGAATGTTCTATTCCATAGTGCAATGTACTCGTATACTGACAGGATATGATGTAATGAAGTATGGTATCTCAAATGCAATGTACACATATACTGACAGGATATGATGTAATAGAATGTTCTATCCCATAATGCAATGTACATGTACTTGTATACTGACAGGATATGGTGTAAAGGAATGTGCTATCCCATAATGCAAAGTACTTGTATACTGACAGGATGTGATATAATGGAATGTGCTATCCCATAATGCAAAGTACTTGTATACTGACAGGATATGGTGTAAAGGAATGCACTATCTCATAATGCAATGTACTCGTATACTGACAGGATATGATGTAATGAAGTATGGTATCTCAAATGCAATGTACACATATACTGACAGGATATGATGTAATATAATGTTCTATCCCATAATGCAATGTACATGTACTTGTATACTGACAGGATATGGTGTAAAGGAATGTGCTATCCCATAATGCGAAGTACTTGTATACTGACAGGATGTGATGTAATGGAATGTCCCGTCCCGTCCCATAATGCAAAGTACTTGTATACTGACAAGATGTGATGTGATGTGATGTAATGAAATGTCCCATCCCATAATGCAATGTACTCGTATACTGACAGGATGTGATGTAACATAGTGTGCTATCCTATTATTGGAACTGTTTGTCGCATCCTCTGCAAAAACAAAGGTGCATGCTTACTTGACCATATCAGGATAAAACTGTTTGTCCCATCCGCTGTATAGTGACGTGGTGACGTACAGTCGTTTACCATCCAAGCTGAGTTGTATCATTTGTGGTCCTCCTGCAACTCGTTTACCGTTCATGTACAATGGTTCTGGCTGTGATGTCAATTCTTTGTCTTCAAGTACTTTTACACCACTGTCTGTTGTTATACTGCCGCCAAGGAAAATCTGAAAAACAAGAAAACATTTGTTTTTATTGCCATATTACAACGCAAAGGTTGATAGATTGATGTACTCATTACCCACAATACAACAAAAAAGTTGACAGATTGACGTACTCATTACCCACAATACAACAAAAAAGTTGACAGATTGACGTACTCATTACCCACAATACAACAAAAAAGTTGACAGATTGTTGTGCCCATTAAACACTCATTACGCACCTGTCCAACCAAGCGTGGATTGCTGGTATCAGTGACATCATACTGACGTATGTCCCCATGTACCCAATTGGAGAAGTACAGATATTTGTCGTCCAAAGAAAGCAGTATGTCGGTTATCAAACCTATAAAAGATTCACAAAAACTATATTATTATACATCTGTCACCGTAACGCCATAACTTGCAGTGTGCCGTAAGTTTGCGGTATTTTACGGGATATTTTCATCCTACCATATTAGGAAATCGAATTCTAAATATGGAATGATTACGCGTGTCCTCTAATAATAAAAACAAACATGGCTGCCACAAAAGACCTGCCTCCACACAAAGAAGTTCGCTGATTCTGTTCTAAACATTTTGGATTTTGACATTCCCATAATGTATCCTTGGAGGGAAAAGATGTATAATAACAAGGTTATTACGAGAATACCTTACGAGAATACCGCCGCGCATCGACCTCTGCTGCGCATCGGTCGATACTCCAGCTGTACTGTCTTCGTGCATACTTTGAGGTATTCTCGTAATAACCTCACATTATTGATATATTCTGGTAATACATATCTGAAGGTTCAAATACTGTGTAATGTGCCGTTAATTAGCCGATTAGTTGTTTGCTTTCATTCAGATTGCAAAATAGGCGTTTGAATGACAAAAGATTACTGATATTGTCTACGTACTTGGCATTTCTGGGTAAAACCAGCCCTCCACTTTCTTGGCAGGTATGTCAATCACTTTTTCCGTCGCATATTTACCATCCTAAAAGAAATAACATTTGAAACAAAATAACGTATATGGCACTGGAACAGGCATATATTTCGTACAATTCGCCGGTTTGAAGTGAGAGTGTTGTATTTGTCGCTTACAGTGACAATTTGAGTAACAACAACAAATCACTGACAAATATTTTGAATAACTCTGGACGTCTACAAGTGAAAGTATAGTAATGCCACGCATTGGCTGGTTCCCGCCTCAAGTGTCATGGCGTACAAGCCACAAGAGGTCGGTAACTAGTAACGAATCGGGCATTCTGATTGGTCCATCACTTTCTCGTTGCTTGTCTAAGCAGGCAGAATGTATGAGCATGGCTTTATTGTAGTAATACAGACACGTTTACGCAGAACGGAACTTGGAATGTTTTCAAATTACGTCACTCAGTCACGTGCCTTCCGGCCGGAAAACCAACCCAGTGGAACAATATGGCGATTACTAGTTACCTGCGTCCTACTTGCCATTCGCAAAGGACGCCGGGAACCAGCGAATGCCACGCAATGAAAGGTATTTCAAAATGGCGCCGTGGTCGTGATTTATTAGAAAGTCAAATTGTTACTCACGTCTGTTTTAAAAAATCGAATTATGTTACTAGAGAATGCGGCGCCGACGAAACCTTCTGTAGATATGGGGTCATGCAAAAATCGGATCTCCAATGGCATGATGCCGTCAGGTCCAAGGTCAATGTCCTGGATTCGTTTATGTGTGGTCCAATCCCATACGTGCAGTGACTGGCTGTACTCGCCTGAAAAAGGGATATTGCGTTTTATATTAGTTAAAGCAGGAGGGTCGTCACCTGCGCACGCGCGGGAATTGAATCCCAAGCGACTCCCTCGCTTTAACCGTTTTAGCGCTTTAATTTTCACTGACTAAATGCTCATGATGACTTTGTCAATTCTGGAAACAGTTTTGAAAATTATAGCCAAACAAAAGTTGTGAAAGATATAGATTAAAATGATAAGTTAAAAAAACTGATAAATTGATGAATTACTGCGTGCCAAAGTCATGTGCGAAGATGCGATCGTATATTTTACGTAATATAGCAAATTTGGAAATGGCCGCCGAGGTCTCGCTGAGAGCGAGAGAGAGAGAGACGAGATTTGTTTTTGTCACCTTCGCGTTTACTGCTACAAAAACCATGATTACGGAATAGTCTCAACAATTTAGATTATCATTTCGGAGCGCAACTATAGACGGTGATCTATTTTGATTCAATCTGATTCGATATTACCCACCTTTCTTTATGTCTTCCGGATCAAATCCACCCATCAGGGCCCTTGGGGCGCCCCAGCCAGAGCTGATAAGAACGTTATGGTATGGTTGGTACCAAAAATCATAACCAAATGGGGCTGCGTCTCCGCTGGCTTCCCAGTTACCTTTCAAGTCGTTGTTTTTGTTTTCGCCGTGAAGAAGAATAAAGCCACCTATAAGATATAATCATTACTCAATCAATCAATCAATCAATCACACACATCATAGCAACCATGACGCACACGTACGTCTACGTGCAATGAATTCTCGCGAATCTCGAGACTGTATGAACGTACACAGTTTGTTCTTTCATTTTTTATTTTATTTTTTTTAGTAATTTTAACCTTTTCCGCCTCCTTCTCCGTCTCCAATAGCGCTGATCATAATGTCACCGTTACCAAGGCAATGAGTTGTATGGGGATTGCTCAGACCTGTCTTTGATATCACTTCTTCTGGCTCAATTACCTGCAAAGAAATACAACATATTAAAATTATAATATGTAAAGTCGCAATTATAATCTATCTCAACCATATGTCATATCACAGCCTTAATATATTAACATGATCAAATGTTACCTAGTCCACTTTTTTTGCAAACGCCCGCCGAGATCTCGTTGAAGTCGAGAGAACCCCACAAGATGGGTTTTACCCTCCAACTGAATAGTGTTCTATCATCTGCTGCTGTTACATCTACTGTTCCACTTGCTATGCAACAACGTAACAGTGGAGGTGATTGCAGCAGAAAATGAAAAACTATAACAGGGGAAAAAACAAATCGCGTGGCTCTATCTCGCTCTCAACGAGACCTTGGCGGTCATTTTCCACTATGATCTATTTTTTTCACAGCTCAGTGCGACATCACATATCGACGATATATAAACAAGATTGTGGTTTATCGTTATCTCAAACACGTTATATTAAAGCGGGGGAGTCGTCAACTGAGCATGCGTCAGATGGCCATAGCGTGTCATTGTTTACAAAACATGCGTCTATCCATGAGCCTTTGCGTTTTTAGCGCGTGTTATTGTCTTTTGGGACTCAATTCCCGCGCGTGCACAGGTGACGATCCCTTCGCTTTAACAACATAAAACGTAATCGTTGTAGGAAACATTGAAATTATAGATATACGCGATACTTTTTGCCAATCGGGCGGGCGAAAATTAGACGCAGTTTTGGCTATTGCACGCCATGTGGTCACGCAGTCGGCGAGATATGACAGAAACGTGAGATCTTACCTTTGCGAGTGCTGGACGCCTTGGATTGGTTTCCACGTCAACCAAATAAATTCGACTCGAATAAAGCGACGGCAGCACCAAACGGTTTCTTTTTCTGCAGCAGTTGTCATAGCAACTACTGCATGCATTCCAACCACTGTGATGCAATTCATCTCCCACATATGGCATGGGTAAGCGATGGATGACCTGGTGAATTGTGGGTGAATGGGGTTAGTCACGTGGTACAACTTTGACACAATAGAAGAACGTATCAGAAGAGAAACGGATAAATCACATCATTTGCACCACATACGGGCATTTCGTCTTCCTGGATTATGTATAATGTAGACAATGCTATAAACACTGCGGCTCATTATTAATAATAACTTCCGAAACGCGAGTTTTGAATGTTCGGCACCATTCGGAACATATACGTAAATCTTTCAGAATCGAAGTAAAAAGAACAGAATCGTTCACGCAAAACACAGCATTCGTCGTTACCAGGGATTTAGCCTTTTCAGTACCAGACTTTCTCATCAAAATGTGTCTGCCCTTTTTTCTATTATTCTTCAATATTTCTGGAAATAAACCCCAATTTTTGAGCCAACAGATATATTTGGGTCAATTTTCAGTTTTTACTCAAATAATTTGGCTATTTTTGTTCAAAACTTTCGAGAAAAAGTGCAGACTATAAACGGGTCTTTTTTGGGAATTTGTAATAAAACGAAGGAACTGATGGTTAAAAGATTAGTTGAGTCATGTGACCTGGCTTCTTTTAGACTGTTGACGAATGGCTCACTTACATACCTGACTGTAAGTGCTTGACCTAGGGTCAACATCAACGGTAGCCAGGTAATCGGGTTTCTTAGTCTCAGTGTTGCGATAGATACACGGCAAGTAAACGATCTCCTCTCTGGTTCCAGACTTGAACGCCGCCAACGGTGTGGCATATCCCGGTCCACGTCCTGGGTGATTGACAGCTGAAAAAAAAAACATAACACAAGACGTGCTTGATCAGTCACGTTTAGATAGCCCGCTACCTACTGTTCAATATAACAGTTTAATAAGGGACGACGTCAAAAGATCGATGTCGGATAAAAAACTTATTTCCTTTAGTTTGGGGTGGGGGTTTGGACCTCAAAAAGTTTCCATCCTACAAAAACGATTTTATTTTTTAATGAAGTCAAAAAAATCTTGGAGTATTTGTAGTTCGTTTTTTTCTACTATCCAATCA